CCTCCCACCTCACTGATCACTTTTCTTTCTCCCTTGCTTGATCCTCAATTTCTTCTTGATTTCTAAATGCTTCCATTTCCTGGGGCTCAGTCCTTGGCCCTCTTCTCTTTTCTGCCTACGAGTACTCGTGAAGTGACCCCTTCTAGACCCATGGCTTTATATACTACCTGTATGTTGATAAGTCCCTAATTCATTTGTCCTGCTTAGACCTTTGTCCTGAATTCCAGATATGCATAGCTAACCTCTCTGTGCCTCCATTTCCTCAGCTAAAAAGTGGAGCAACAAGAGTACTGAGCTCACAGCGTTTGTGCTGGATATTCTGTTTGCACTAGCAGGTCTACTTCTCACCCTTCTCTGTCTGCTCAGTGCCCAGAGAAGCTGATCTGTGTGGCCTTCACCAAAGAGTTGTCTTGCTGTCTGGCTTCTGACTGAGTTTAGTTAATGGAAGCCTCCATCAAGAGGTGGGACGGAGGGAAGAAAGTAATTTATTCTCCCAGATCTCTCCCTATCAAGCCCTAGGTTGGTTGTTGCTGCCTTCCTCTGTTGAAGGCCATAGCTCCTGCTGGACAGCCAAGACCTAAAGCCCTCTCTCCTGGTTCCAGTAATTACTCTCTCTTCTTCCCCCTTCTCACAGCCCTGCTGGTGCCAGCTCTGGGGGCGTTTCACCATTCCTTGTTGATTTCCCTTAACTATGCTCACACTTTTATAAATAGTCTCCTCATTAAACTCTCCTCAGTCACCTCATTTGAGTGTGCCATTTGCCTCCTGCTGAGACGTAACCAGTTTGGAATTAAATAAAGATGGTGATTAAATAAGCTAATATTTGTAAAGGGTTTAGAGCAGTGTCTGTCACATAGTAAGTGCTATAGAAGTGTTTGTGAAATAAATAAATGAATTAACTTCACACGTGAGCACTCTCTAGGTATTTAAAACTAACTTTTTAAATTTGCCACCCTTCCTGTATTAGTCAGCTTTCTTCAGAGAAACAGGACCAATAGGGTGTATATGTACATAGATATATCCTACCCATCGGATGTGCATGTGTGTGTGTGTGTGTGTGTGCACATATGTGCACATGAAGACATTTATTCTAAGGAATAGTTCAATGATTATGGAGGCTGACAGGTCCAAAATCTGCAAGGTGGGCCAGGAGGCTGAAGACCCAGGGAAGTTGACACTGTAGTTCCAGTCTCAAGACCATCTTCCATAGAACCAGGAAAAGCCAATGTTGCAAGTGGAATCCAAGGGAAACCCACTGAAGACTTCTTTCTTGCTTAGGGGAGGCCCATATTTTTGTTCTATTCAGGCCTTCAAATGATCAAAATGTGTTTGACCAAATATCTGGGCACCCTATTGTCTGGCCAAATTGACACATAAAATTAATCATCACACTTCCCAATGTACTCCCCCAAATCCTCAGTTTTTCCTTGCTCACTAAAGACCCCTGCATTCCCTCATTTGATGAATTCTGAACATTTTTCTTTCATGCCCCACCTCCCATCTATCCTTCAACACGTTTCTAGAACCTACTACTCTCACCATCTCCCCCACTGCCATTGTGCTCCAAGCCACTGTCATTTCTCATGGGGATTATGTTTATAAACCCTTATCTCCTGCTGTCACTCTGACCCTCCTAGAGACTGTTTTCAACGGGATAGCTAGAGTGATTTTTTAAAAAATAAACATCATATCATGTCACTCAGGGTCAAAGCCCAAGTCCCTATAGTGGCTTGTGAAGTTTGAGATAATCATATCCCAGGTCCTCCAAGTTAACAGCATGCCTCTCTTCCTCTTGCTCAGTCTGTCTGGCCTCGTTGACCTCCTTGCTGTTCCTTGAACTTGACGGCCATGCCCCCACCTGGAAGCCTTCACACTTGCTGCTTCCTCTGTCTGGAAAGCTCTTCCCTTGCATGCTCATGCATCTCACTCTCCCTTCACTGAGTTTTCCTCCTAGATGTTATCTCCTCAGAGAGATCTTCCCTGGCCACCCTAAGTGGAGCACCCTATCCCTCACCCTCCTTTATTTTCTTTGTTAGCATTTATCCTAACGTGACATTATATATTTGTTTGTTTGATTGTAGGCCATCTTCCCCACTAGAAGGTAGCACTATGGAGTTTGAGACTTCTTGTCTTTTTTTTCTTTTTTTTCACTTCCATATTCCAATCCCTGGAACTGTGTCCAATAACTCAATTGTAGTAGGATAGTGGGAACTCAATAAATTTTCTCGTGTGTATTTTCCTAAGGCCTAAGAGTAGTAACGACTTGTGCTGCTGTGCATATTAATTCACAGAGGGTTCAGAGCATGCCCTCATGTGTTCTCCGATTTATCCTCACATCATTCTATAAGAAGGGAAGGAGGGGAATCATCATGACTCACACCTATCAGTGGAATGGGAATGTTTAGTGCTTAAGGATTTTAGTGCCCTCTTTTGAAGACGAGAGTACCTCAAGAGAGGACACTGGATATACTTTTGTGTACCTCATGAGATTGGAGATATATATATTGGAATTCTGTCTTGGAAGAAGTTATTCATTTTACCAGCCTGTGCATTTTACTATAAGATCTGGCCAGCAACAATGTATTAAGTCAACATGAATTTTAAACATTTAAAATTCTTGCCATATGGGAAAAATTACAACTGAAAGTTGTGGTTTCAGGATTCACAAGTGCACAGGGAATGAGAGGAAGACATCCTCAGATACTTGTTTTTGAAACCCAGTAACTGAGGGAGTAGATTAACTTGCACAGATAACACCAGTAACCCTTTGTTGTCCTGTGGATACTGTTACATGAATATATTACTCCCTTCCTGCACCCTCCCTCCCCAATCACAATGATATAAATTTGGTATTTCAGTGAAAGTTTATGAACAATGTGCAAATGCATATGCTTTTTTATATTAAGGTTTTCTCAGGAGAATAATGCTACATAATAAACTTGCGATTGCAAGGATATGGAACCAACCTATGTGCCCTTCAACCAATGGTTGGATAAAGAAGATACTATATATATATGAATATACTATGGAATACTACTCAGTCATAAAAAGCAGTGAAATAATGTCTTTTGCAGCAACCTGGATGGAGCTGGAGGCCATTATTCTAAGTGAAGTAACTCAAGAATGAAAAATCAAATACCATATGATCTCCCTTAGAAGTGGGAGCTAAGCTGTGAGGACCCAAAACCACACAGAGTGATATAATGGACTGTGGGGACTTGGAGTGGGGAGAAGTTGGGAGGGAGGTGAGGGATAAAAGATTACATATCAGGTACAGTGTACACTGCTCAGGTGACAGGTGCACAAAAATCTCAGAATTCACTACTAAAGAACTCATCTATGTAACCAAAAACCACGTGTACCCTCAAATCTATTGAAATTTTAAAAACTTAAGACAATAAATAAAGTAAGCTGCATGCTGTGGCATGCCTGTAGTCCCAGCTACTAGGAAGGCTAAGGCAGGATTTCTTGGGCCCAGGAGTTCAAGGTTGCACTGAGCTGGGTCACTGCATTCAGGCCTGGGCGACAGAGTGAGACTATCTGGAACAAACAAAAGAGAAAGAAAGCAAGCAAGAGAAAGCAAGAAAGCAAGCAAACAAGAAAGAAAGGAAATAAAGACACTTACACACTTATAATTCAACTTTCTAATAGTAATTCTATAGTCAGTCACATACCCCAAATTACATTCTTGTAATGGGTTTATTCGTGTACAAAATATGTTATAATTTTTTGATGCATGTGCAGCAAAATATTCTATCACATACAACAAAAATACACCTTTTACTCCCTTTTCCCTGCCCTTGAAAATGGCAACACTGTTCTGGCAGTTCAGCAGCTAAAAATAAAGTGCTATAATTAAGCAGTATTGGAATGTATTCGTTTGACAAATGTGATGTACAATTTGAGTATACAATCGTATCTTTTTCTTGGTTTTTCACAGAATAGGAAGCTCCACATCCTGAACACCTCCAGAAGATACAAATATTTGTATATATATGTACACATGTATACACTGTATATGTAAAGTGCCAACAAGCCTCTTTGTCCTTGTGAGTTTGTTGAATTTCTCTTTAGTCCCTTTTTCTTTCCACAGTCAGACTCACACCATTGGGATCTCAGAGTTCATCAGCAGGTACCAAGCTTACCAAAGGCTGGCTTGTTGGGGG